AGGAAGCTTTTGCTGTTTTTTTTTGTGCCTTTCTCCGTGGTTTTTTTCATTATCGAAATTTCTGATTCAAGCATTGTAACCCCCGAAATTGTCGTGCATTTTTTGTTTTTTACTATAAATGTGCTTCGATTTCCACGTGAAAACATTCGACATCGCCATCTTTGACCATTGAGCTGAACGCATAAATTGCTGCAAGTTATGTTTAATCTTAAATATGAAAATTTAAAAATTACTTTCAGCTTATGGATAGCATGAATCAGTTTCTGCGTGTGGAATGTGGCTTTGCTGCTGCTAAGGATATTCGTTCGATGAGTCACGAAGATAGGTATCTGCTGCAGTTCTTTTCCCTTAGCTTTTCATGAAGAGTGAGTCTTTTTTTTAAAAAAAACTGATTGAAACCATTAATTTTTGGCAGGATTTTTCGATAATTGTGAAAATTTTTGCAGGATGGATTCGTTTGTGCTTTCGGAAACACTCAAATACCTATACATGATATTCACGGAGCCTTCAGATCTGTACATTGACCCACATAATTATGTGCTTACAACCGAAGCTCATTTCATACCTCTTTCAATTGCTGATGCCGATAGCGATGGCAAAGTTTGTGCCTTCTTTTCGTTCCCATTTACGACAGGCACCTTCCACTGATCCTTTTCTCCTGTCTCATCAAGAAGTTTTAGCTCCCTCGACGCCTGATAATCGATCCCGACGAAGTGATCGATGATGAAGAAGCAATAACAAACAAGAAGTTCCGCTCCGCATGTCCTGTAGTAAGCGAGAAATTCGATAATTTGCAAGCTTACGCAAAAGATTTGCGTGACGGCGTCCAAAGTGTTGTTGATGAGCTAACGAGGAGTACGCACAGTTCCGGAAGCTGTCCCAAAATGTAAGAGTTGTGATAAATTTCAGAGGTATTGCTAGATTTTGATTGTTTAGAACCAGGGGTAAGAACTGATAAAATTAGAAGAAAAGAGGGATTGGAAATACTGCACTTAAGAAATTATTTAAATTGGTGTGTGATAAATTTCAGAGATACTATTAGATCTTAATTGATGAGAACGAGGATAAGGATTAGTGAAATTAGAAGAGGAATGAGAAATATTGAATTTACGAAATTACATGAAATTGGAATACGTAGATCAGTTCTAATTAATAGTCCTTTCCTCCAGCTTCTGCAGCTCTCAACTTCTCCGGTACCTTAGTTAATTCTGCATATTCTCCTGGTGATCTGCTTATTGGCGATTGCGTTATTCGTTTCGTCTCCTGAAGGAATTACCAAACCAACAAGTTTCCCTGCAGAAATATGTAATTCAAGGCTTTAGCCACCTCTGGAGGTCCTTAATATGCGTTGAGCAACATCGTCTCATCTCCGGCGTTACCAGTGTTAAACACTACGAGAGATAGCTTACTTACTGTTAGGAGTTTCGATTTTTTTTGGAGGATAATTGTAGAAAAAAGTGAAAATGGAAAACTGTTCGGATCGCCTGCAACTGTTATATACCTCTGATTCAGTTCCTTGGATTTTCAGTCCAACTCGTTTGAATGCCTGGACATTCAGTGTAACAAATCGTGAGCATATACAGCAGTTGAAGCAAATGGGCATACAAATGCATTTTCAATCGGACGGGCGCATGCAACTCAGTCATTCGCCAGAATCGGTAAATATTGTTTTTTTTTCCCCTTTGAAGACTTTTTAGGGTCTACACCTGTGGTGTATTTGAATAGAAACGATAAAAGACCCTCATAACAACTTGTAAAGAAGGAGGGGGGTTTTGAAGAATTGAATGAAGTGAGGTAGAATTCATCCAGGATAGCACTAAATTCGGCTAGAGGGGTTTAGCAGTTAACTTATTGATAAACATATTATCTAAAGAGAGCAAAATTCTACCAAAAGGGGAACAAAATTCGTCCGGTTCGGCATAAAATTCAGCAAAAAGGAGGCCAGATTCAACTGAAAAGGAATAATTTGCTCGGGAAAAGCGAATAAATTGTCCCAAAAAATGTTGAATTCCATGATCTGGCTCCAAAAATCTCCATTTAATTTAAGCATAGGCAGGAAAAGTTGAAAATAGCGTTTAGAATGAGGTTCCCCTCGCCAATCCTAGGAAGCTAAATACACCACAGGTATAGATCTATCTTCTTCCCCCTGTTGTGTGTTGGTGCCGAGAAGCATGCAGTGCATTTCAGTTGGTTTCGTGCTGTTTTTTATGCCAGCTCATACCCCAGCAGCTGTGTTTTTTCATTGTTTTTGTTCATAGCTTTATGAATTGTTCGTTTGTAAAACGGTGGATGACCCCGCTTCGCCCTCTTTCCCCGCATATTTTGCGTAAAAATGGTCAAATTTAATTCCAAAAATTGGTTTGGGAGTTTATTTTTGTCTACTAAAGGCGATATCAGCCGAGATACCCTTTTTTCTCGGGAAAAAAAAGCGAAAAGTGGAGGGATTTTGACTGGATGAGAAACGAGGGTCAGAAAGCCGTTCAAGGGAGCTGTTTTCAGGGCGAAGCGAGTGAATTCACCACCGATGCG